CCCTCCCCACCCGCAACCAACCAAAGGCCTGAGGACAGCAATTTTAGGTGCTGGCTTCTCAAGTGTGAGAACAGCTGCATTCTGAATCTGAGCCAGGAGCACAGGTGTCTGTGTCCATTACTAGCTCGGTCATACATTTAAAAAAAAAAAAAAAAAAACTTTGCAGACTTAACAGCATCTTCTTTTTTTTTTTGTTTTGTTCATGAGCAGAGCATATTCTAAACTATCAACTTTTTAGTTCGTCCAATTATTTCTATTGAAAACAATTCTATATTTTCTGTTCACGTTAAAATTTATAAGTATTAGCTTTTTCAAAGTGGTATCTAATTTCTGCACAATTATTATCAGGGTGACATATGTGGGCCATTCTAATATTATTTGATCAATGATGGTGAAGACATGCCCCACTGAATTTTATTTGGAAAATCTATTATTGTTTATTCATGTGACTATTTGAATTATTCAATTAAATTGGCAGTTATCGTTCAATAATGGTTTCTCAGAAAAAAAAAAGTATTTTTCACTTATTTTCATGACCTTTCAAAATGTCTTTTCTGTTGTCGGTCTGAAATTAAATTTCATGATTTGGAGCATGTTTTCTGAAGATGCTAATTGTATTTTGGGGTAATTTATAGAATGTTTCTTCTATTGCTAGAAATGCTTTTTTTCTACAAAAACTACCACAAATGCATCTTGTTGTCATAAGAGTTCCTTTTTGTTTTGGTTTTTCGACAAATGGTCCTTCTATGTCACTCAAGCTCTCTTTACCGTTAAAGACACTGGATGGAGTCTCATTCTGTTGTTGCAATCCACCAGAGGGATCTGTGATCTAAAGTGCCGCGATGCGGCAGCCATTTTGCGATCTCACAATAACTGATGGCAAAATTGTTGCTGTTATTTCTGAGGTATTTATGAATGTGTGTCAGAACAATTGCATGAATGTATAAAGACAAGAGTGTAGTGGTTTAATGAGTAGTTAGGATCTTTGATGCACATGTATCTGCAGAGTTTGAAAGGGAACACATGTAAAATGTGTAACTCGCATGGTTGCAAGGAAGCGGTGAATGTCTTTCCCGGTATGCACTTTTGTCTTCGTCTCGTGTATTTCGATGGGCTACCAACATTTGCTCAGTCAATAATGCTGTGGCAGAATTCAGGTTGATGTCATTATTTATTTGGGTTTTTTGGGGGGGGGGTGGGGGTCATTAAACGTTTCAGAAATCTTACTGTTCAGATCACCTTTGCATCGGACTGCTATGAAATGTATCTTGTGGTTTTACTCATTTTAAATGATCCTTTTGAAAATGGGGCTTCAGGCTTCACTGTTTCAGTATGACAGACATTTACAAATAAAACCAAGTCGGCATAGAATAGTGACAAATTATAGATTTTTTTTCTTCACGAGTGTATTTTCCATTAATATTTTTCTCAAATTATCTAATATTACAATAACCCCTTCAAGCAATTACTTTTTTGGACAATTGCCAGTTAATTTAGGCCGAGCATATTACACACTCACCTCATGAGATGAGATCAAATGGAGACACTTTTACAAGCGCTTCTCAGCATAGTGTTGTGAAGTTCTAGACGACTGCAAACACAACAAGAAAGACATTGTTAAATTAAGACCTCTCTGACTGTCAATCAAAACAGTATCCTTAGCAGGCAAAAAGTACCTTTATTACCTCCCATTAAATCAGTGCTTCTCCATTATTTTCTGTTACGCCCCCCCCCCCCACGAAAAGAAGACCATTCGCGCCCCCCCCCCACCTGCCGCCACGATAATGATCATTTGCCTATAAAATTGTTATAACTACACTTCTGCATTTCATTGTATTCTCATTAACATTAAAGAAAAGAAAAAAAAGAAAAATAGTTCAATTTACAGCAAAGAATAACTTTATTAACATTGTTTTTTAATCTGTAACAGAAAAGATTTTAAATGCACCAATTTGCCTAAAAAAAATCCTTGTTTTAACTTTGTTTAAACATTTTTGACCATTTGAACCATTGCACCATTCTGAAAAAAAAAATCAATAATTCAATAAATAATAATAAATTCAGTTCAGCAACATTAACTCAGGAGCAGAACATATACAATACTTTGGTCTATAAAACAAAAATGAACAAAACCAGGTGTACTGATTTTTTTTTATTGTTATTATTTTTAATCAAAATGAGGAATTAAGATAAGATAAGATAAGAAAACCTTTATTAGTCTCGCAATGGAGAAATTCCCAATACACAGCAGCAAAGTTATGAAAGGAACAAGTAGAACAACAAAATATAGGAGCTGCTGGAAAGGCAGCCACTCTCGCGGCGCCATTTTGAAGTCAAAATAACAAAAATAACACAACACAACACATAGGACACAAGACAGTCGTGCAATCTTCACCACTTTTCTGCATACACTTTGTTGTCCGAAGCAGTTATAGATGAAAGAGGAGAGGATCAAAGTGTCCTTTCACCAGTGGATCAGAGACGTCATGCTGAAAATGTGCACACGTCTGCTACAAGCTAAGGTTTGAAAGCAAACACGAAATTAGGGATTAATGGTGATATTGAGCACGTTTTTCAGTGTACAACTTTTCCAGGGGCTTATCAGCGTGATTGAGGAGTAATGTCTTTAAGTGGCGCCTTGATTTATTTGGCTTCATGCTGTCCGTTTTCAGCATTTTTGGACACAGTAAACACCGGCTTATCCTCGTCTCCCGCTGTAGTCACAGTGAAGCCAAGCGCTACATCCACTTCGTCATGTTTCCCTCTCTTAGCTTTCGAGTGACTTTCTTTTGTCTCATTATCTTCTTCTTTCTCCGCCTTTCTTTTCATCTTGTCTCTTGAGGGTTTGTTTACTGCACTTCATATCGCCTGCTCGGTGAAAAAAAACAAACACAATAGGGCTAATACTCCCTGTGCACTCTCTGACAATGAGGGTGCCACTGGCAGCTGCTGTAGTGGATGTGCAATTACACTTTATTCTATTCTCTTCAGCAAAAAAGCGTGTTCCCCAGAGTCACACGCACCCCCCCGGCATTGCATCGTGCCCCCTACTATTTGAGAAGGACTCCATTAGATTATGCAGGTGGTACTGGTACCGTGCAGGCTAATAGTGTAACATGCTCAGGAATGCATGGGCTGTTCAGGAGAAATGCAAAAATACCGTTTTAATGTTGAGAGTTTTTATGGTCTCAGTCAAGAACAGGTTTGTATCTGTAACAATTCCTGCCAGGCCTTACAGAATACGTTGTAGGACGTTGCTAATGATTTAATTGTGGCAAAATTACGTTTATGAGATATTGTGGCTGTTAAAGGGAAACCAGACTGTGTCTGTCAGCAGGGAACCTCAGCGGTTTACCAGACTGTGTCTTCTTGTAGAATATGTCACAAGTGCAACAGTCATTTTTATTTTTTGCCATAGGAGACTCATAAAAGTTTTTTTTTCTTATAAGTTGCAGAGCTGTTTCTTTTTTTATTCTAGATCATGGTTTCCAGAGGAGGCCAATCAAAGGCAATTAAAATGATGTTTAACTTGAGTGTGCCTCCAGAGGAACACACTTCTTATTTTTAGCATAAACATGCTTTGATTCAAGACAGGCACTCTTTGTGAGGTGCACCGTGAAGCTGTCTTTGGTTTACAGACATTACCTCCTCGCTCACACAAGTCTTTACGTGTAATGTGCACAATCAAAGCAGCGAGTGTGCTTGCTAAGCTGAACATGGCAAAAAAAACCTATTGACAGCTGAGTCCTCTGAGCTTGAGATGAGCCAACATTTGCAGGGATCCATGACACCAGTGAATAATCCTAATGGGGTTTTGCCTGAAATCCTGGGGCAGGCTCTCTTATCTGATGCCACTTTGCACTTATCAGTGCATTTGACACACGGATCGTGTTTCATTAAGCCGCATGGCCAAGCTGACAGGGGGCTTACTAAACCTGATTTGGCGTCTCCCCCCTTTGTGTTAGTGGTTTTAGTGGAGATGGCAAGCAGGACAATTCTACCCCGATTATAGACAGTGTCTTTTCTTCCTGTTTGTAACAAGACCTCAGAGCGTTGACAGAAAGTCTGCCCCAAGAGAATGATGTCACCGTTTTGTCAGTGAAACTGGTCAGAGACTTTACCTGTCTGCATAGAAATAAAACTACATGGCTGTTCTAGTAAATTGTGCGATCGTATGAGGCATGCGGTGGCTGTCTGAGGCTTTCAAGCGCTGCTTTCATCATCTGTTGTCACATCTGCAGTGAATCATGTGATGACTGATGACATCATGATGGCCTTTTCGCCTCACGGTGCTGAGTGAAATAGCTCTCCTGGCTTGTCTGACGGTACGCGCACACAGAGTTGCTTGTTAGGTGTTATTAACAACCATTAAATCACTGTCAGCCCTACATGAATTTTGGAAACATATTTTCTGTTTTGTAGTTTGACAATGCCCCCTGTTGTGCCATCATAACCAAATGAGACAATGGTTTGTAATTTAGGGGCTGTGCACGCAACACTTTTTTCACATGAAAATAGAAACGGCCATTATTGTTTTTGATGCTTGGATCTGGATGTATTTCTTGTATTTCCTGCATTTATCTATCTATCTATCTATCTATCTATCTATCTATATATCTATCTATCTATCTATCTAGGTATCTCTTTCTCTCTTTCTTTCTTTCTTTCTTTCTCTCTTTCAAGCAGCATGGGTTATTTTCTTTGAGAAAATGAAAATGGCTTCTGTGAAAACGGGAGTATTCATTGCAAGACAACAAAAGTGCTTTTGTAGTGGCTTTTAGGACTGCTTTTCCAGATAAGTATATATTTCCTATCATGTTCATGTATTGAACTGAGTCATGGCCATCAAATTCTACCAACGCAACACAATGCCACTTAAAAGTGCAAAATGACTTTTGAAGCGAACGGAGCGCATTGCGCGCCATCCGCTTCGTCTGACGTAAATAAGTGTCATGTTGAAATAGCTCATAAGCTTTTCTATCCTGTATTCTGTCCTCCAGCTGACCCCGGGTGGGAAAGCAGCTCAGGCTGGTGTCGGTGTCGGCGACTGGGTCGTCTCTATTGATGACCTTAACGCAGAGGACTTGACCCACGTGGAGGCCCAAAACAAGATCAGAGCAGCATCAGACTCCCTCACTCTCACCCTTAACAGGCAAGTCAGTTTGCAAAGATGCAACAAGGAATTTAGTTACATTTGATCTCAGTCAAGTGCATCATATAATTCACTGCACATTTATATCAATTTTATACTCTACTAGATGAGCTATCACGGCACCCTGAAAATATGTAGCAAATATGCGAGGTAAAATTATCACTCACGTTTGACCCACAGATAATAGTCAGCTACAATTCAAAGGTGTAGCAAAAATGGTGCTTTGACAAAGGTAAGTTTTTCCTGTAAAATGATTTTGTTAGACAAGCATTCATTAAAAACATATATGTTGATCGTATGGTTGTAGTTTGCAAGTCATAGTGAAGTGCATGCAGTGGCCTTTGCCCCTTTGAGCTCTGGTTAATTAAAAAAACAAAAAAAAAACCAAAATGGTAAATGGATTAATGCACTGTGTTGAAGAACCTGAGCCAGAAAATGTTTTTATGTTTGCAGTCATTTTAATTAAAAGTGGTTGACCTTCATACAAGCAACACTTAAAAATTGCCCATTGAGATTCTGCCAAGAATTTCCGGCGGAGAAAGTATCTCTTCAGAGTGCAAAGCAAAAGTGATTCATGTGGTGTATAATTAACAGGGGGAAAAAATAAGACCACCCACCCAAAGGAAGATGGACTGTTTTGAGGTTTGCATAAAATGAGAAAGTATTGACTTGTCAAGTCATAAACATGAGCCGGGGTGCTGTCAGGAGACTCATTTAGATTTTGCGATCCCCATAAGTTCAGATGCTGTGATCACAGCTGTTGCTTAGCCAATATCCCCCCCAACCCCCCACCCCACACCATCCAGCTCTCTTTGGATTTGCCTGCCAACACACTCGGGCTGATATGTACTGACAAATCTTTCACTATGTTTCCCTTTGATTTTCGAGATAGCGGAGCCAGAACTTCAAAGAGATTCCAAGTCTTCTATTCTCGTGCATACAATTCAAATATAGAATCTATTTCCCCATAGGCATACCTGCCTCAAAAAACGATTTAATCCGTCTAAGGGTCAGACAGTCCCCCTCCTAAAACACTTTAAGTTAATGGAAGTTGCCAAGTACCGTTTGAGGAAGTTGCTGAAGGCGACTTCATTTCTTGTACGAGAACATTCGTAATTGTTGTTTAGGTCTTTACCGCTACCATTACTCCAAGTACAGTATTTTTATTTTTATGTTTTTTGTCTTGAGAAAGATGCTGAAGTCAAGCATGACGGTAGTTTGACTTGTGAAGTTTTGTGGGACTTAAGTGCACTATAAAAATTCACTTTCTGCTGATCATACTTGAAATGTTTAAGCCTGTCCTGAAATTTCACCTAAAACCCAAATATCCCGAACTGTTTGTGAGTAGTGGTAGATAGGTGTATACAGCAGAGGTCACCAACCTTTTTTGTCCCACGGACCGGTTTTATGTCAGACAATATTTTCAGGGACCTATCTATCCGGCCTTTAAGGCCTTTAAGGCCGGATAGATAGAACAACATAATATATGACCTGCATGAAAAGTGTGGTATTTTTAAACATCATAATAAACACGAATCATGACATGAGGAACGTCCTATCAGGCCGCAACATTCTCTGGTCGCTTTGGTAACGTTGCCTTCAAAATAAGATACGCCGCAAATAAAAAGTGCATGAAAAATACGACTCACCATCGCCGCTTACTATGCAGAGTAGGCTTGGTGTGTGTGAATCTCCCATTGAGATAAAGCCGTATTTGAAATAAGACTCCTGATACTGTCTATTAAATGTAGCCTTCTCTTTCTTGAAAGTCGTAGGCTCCTCTTATGTCTCCCGGCTGGGCCTTTTCCCCTTCCCGAAAAAAACTTCTCAAAAGACGTTTGTTTTTCATGCGGTAACCTATCACGTGACCGAGAAGCGCGCATTCACCTGCGCCAAGAGTGACATATTGTAGACTGATATAACAGAGAATCTGGTAATTTTTCAAAATAAGACATCTTTCAGATTCCGAAATGAATAAAACGGAAGGAATGTAAGTTATTTATTCTTTCTGTGTGGCCCGGCACCAAATAACTCGCGGACCGGTACCGGTCCGTGGCCCGGCGGTTGGGGACGAATGTTTTACAGTATTTATGCGTGTGTGTGTGTGTGTGTGCGTGTGTGTGTGTATGTATATGTATATAT